GGGAGTTAATCAATCTTAATTTTACACAAGAATAGAGGAATTGATGATATACATTTTTGTGGGGATAATGTTTTAAACTATGAACCAACTCAGACATTGGCTGAACTAAATGTCAATTATGTTGCCTTACAGTAAAATTAAAATGTCAATTATGTTGCCTTACAGTAAAATTAATTATCCAATATTTTATAATTTATTTTATATCCCAATCGTTTAGAAGCAATATATATATTTTTTATATTTTATTTTTCTATTAGTGCTAGAAATTGCCATGCTAAATTAGATAAGAAGGGAGGATGGATTCTTCTCCAATGACTCAGGTGTGGACTATGACTTTTTAGCCCATTGTTGATATTTATGTTCTCTCAAAGTGTATGAGCCAATTGATTGAGCAACCAATGGGGTCGGTATATATGTGTCAATTAGAATGAATAGATTTAGATAGGGTAAACATATACAATAATATAATTTCACTATTTCGGATTATTATTTACACAAAATAAAGTGAATTACAAAAATCATAAGGTAAAATTCATTTAATTAAGAATTACCTGTAAGAATTCATTTTCTTTTAGTATATGTGCATGGCATATTTAAAGTAGTTTAATATTTATTTAATCATAATATACTAATCTTAATTATATCCCAAAAGTATCATTTAAATTGTTAAAAACAAAGTGTTTTAATTGTATGGTTAAAATTGAGGTGACATTAAAATTGTTGGGCAAATTACGATCCAATTGTTTTAATTGGTAACTCCCAAAAGTTAAAATACTCTCTCTGTTCACTTTTATTTGGCATTTATACTAAAAAAAGATTTATTTTTACTTGTCACTTTACGCATATCAAGAGAAGACAATTTTTTTTTGTTATACCCACAGTATTTATTACTCATTTTAAATTATTTTCTCAAATCCAATAAAATATGCATCAATTAATATGTCTATCATGATAAATTATGCACTTCATTTATTATTTCTTAAGGGGCGTAAAAAGTCAAAATGTGTCAAGTAAAAGTGAACGGAGGAAGTATATTGGTTGTAAATAAATCATCATGTGTGTGTATATATTAATTTGTCATTGTGAAATTTTAGGTTGGTAGAAGTTGATGTTGATGTGAGAAATTATTATGTTGAGATAATAATATAATATATTTTTATAATTTAAATTAAGATATTACTAAATATGTTTTATTAGTTATTACTCTATATATTATTTCACTCAGTTTCAATTTTAATAAGATAGTTTAAATTTAGCTGTTACTGGTACACTGTCTCTTTCCTTCTTCTTGTGCCGAGGGTCTATCGGAAATAGTCTCTCTACTCCTCCGGAGTAGGGATAAGGTTTGTGTACACATTACCCTCCCTAGACCCCACTTGTTGGATCTCATTGGGTTGTTATTGTTTGACTTGGCACGAAGTTTAAGAACGAAAAAGAAAACTTTTGAAACATGTGGTCCTAAAAGCTTTGTGAGGCCGTGATAGTTGTATGAGTGTAAGAGCTTCTCATACGGGTAAAATGCATAAAATAAAAAAATTAAAGTTAAATTATTTTCAAATATAGAAATGTGTTAGTCTTTTGGAATAGATTAATAAGAAAAATACTTTATGTAAATTGAAAGGAAGAAGTATTTATTTTTGAATCATATTGTATTTTTCTTTGTCTGTATCACCGACTATATTTGGAGTTATAATATTTAAGTTTATGCTAATAGTTATTCATATAATTTATTCTTTTTAATTTATAGAATATATCAAGATCATAATATTATCCGCTCATCGTGCGGGTAGTAATACTAGTTTATTATTATATTCTAAGCGGCAACTCTAAAAGTGAATACTGGTACACTTAGGGGTCGTTTGGTATGGTGTATAAGAATAATGTTGAATATGGTGTATTAGTAATATATGGATTAGTAATGTATGGGTTAGTAATGCAAGCATTAATTATGAAGATATTATTTCTTATCTACTTATGTGGTGTATTAAAAGTTATAATGCATTGCATAATTTTTAAGAAAAATAGTTGTTTACAAAGCCTTCCATACTCTATAGCTTTAAGGGACTTTAAGAACAATTTTGTCTTTAACCATACTAATGCATGCATTAATAGCCTTGGTAAGTTGGCATTACTAGTGTCACGATTTTCTATGCATTACTTATACATAGAATAATACCAAGTATGATGTAAGACAAGTACAAGTATTAGTTATACACAAGTTGAAAAAATGTATCAAACAAGGTATTAGTAATGCACAGAGCTAATGCTTGCATTTTTTTCCTAATATCTCCTACCAAACGACCCCTAATAGCCTTGGTATTACTAATACCATAATTTGCTATGCATTAACTATACATAGGATAATACCAAATAAAATATAAAATTAATGCTTGTATTAGTTATACATAAATTAAAAAAATGTACACTAAACAAGATATTCCTACTACAAAAATAATACATACATTATTTTCTCTAATGCACTCTATCAAACACCTCTTAATCTCTAGTCTTTTCCTTAGATATCTCAATTATTAGGTTTGCCAAATTAATACTATAATCCATGGCAGCCAGTTTCTTCTCTCCGTTAAAATAAAAAAAATATGACTCCACAAGTCGTGGTGGAATTGCAAGGATCTAGCATATGCCTATGTGATGATAGGCTATAACTACGCATTTTAGTCGCTTATTACATTCAAATTTACTGTACTTTAATTGAGTTTGAGCTTTAATTGTTAGTGTCTTGTACTAATTGTGTGTTTTATGCCTTGTAGGAGTGATTCTTAGCTATGTAGATATTATAAAATGAATTCAAGTATTCTGTAGCTTTGAAGTCTGAGTAAAAGCCTAAGAAATTAAGCCAGGATCGTATTCGGGGATCAACGAATGATAGAGCAACAAAACGAAGAATCGAGTAGGCATATTGCGCACTGTCTAGTAAAATGCACATTACTTTTATCTCAGGACTCCATTTTGGGCTCCATAATATATAGTTGGAAAGTTAACTCAAAGGGATACAACTTTCATGTTTTATGTTTTTCCAAATTCCAAATAGAACAGGGTGAGAAACGCGGTAGAAACCGTAACCGCAGACCTGACGCGGACTGAGGCAGTACACTGGGAAAGTACCGCGCCCGCGGACGTCCAGTCCTGGAAACTTGTCCTTTTTCGTATAGGGGAAAATATAATTGTTTGGGCCCGACCCTACTTGGTATATATACATGGAAAAACGGTATTTTGAAGGGAGGAGACCAATTTTTAACATAGATTGGACCTAAGGAGGCAGAGACACAATAAGAGTAAGGCGGGGAATTCTTCTATGAGTTTTTCCTTCCTTTTCCTATTTTTCATTGTTAGTTATGACTTTTAGTATTGTAGTTTTACATACTATTATGAATAGCTAATTTGTTATCTAGGGTTTTGATGGAACCTTTTGTAGGATAAATTCTTGTTATGTTTTTATATGATTGAGCCGTAGTATTTTCTCTATTTGTTCAACTATATTATTCTTGTGGTTGATTGAAGGACCCTCAATTAACTGTTCATATTTAGTGTGCATTACTCGGGAGAGAGTGTATATTCAGGCAGTTGTTGAACATCATCACTCCTAACGTATATGAGGGATCAATACGGAGGGTTTAAAGGTGAGATTAGGGATAACGAAACTTTGGGTGCGATCTAAGTGAGCTGTAATTAAAGCCAACTAGCGTAACTCGGGAGAGTATGTCTAGTAAATTGTTGTAATTACTCGGGAGAGAATTACAACACGCAGAGCGCTCATGATTGGTAGAGAATACTTAGGCGAAATTATAGAAGACATAGCGGAAAGGATTCCAACAATTGGGAAAATCATAACTCTAGACCTCATTAATCTTTTCTCCAACATGTAGTATCTTTAGTGTTAATTTATTATTTTAATTAATTAGTTAGTTAGTTAGTTAAACACAAGAATTTTAATAGCTATAAGTTAGGAATTGATCAAGCTTGTATTCTTGATGATAGTGAACAACTGTAGCTAAGCCTTAATTCTCTATGAAATTCGACTCCGGACTTATAAACCGAATTATATTTACATCGACCGCTTATCCTTTTTAGGACTAGAGTTGGGCGTGATCACTGTGCTAAGGAAAGAAAGCCCCTCAAACCCCTTTCATTGGTCAGTCTTACGAAAGTAAGTACACTTTTTATAACTAAAGAATAACATAGAGATTTAAGAAAGAGCCTTGTTTATTCATTTACCATCAGAGGCCTACGCAAAAATTTTTGTAAGTAGTATCATAATTACGTAAATAATATTTAATAAATAAGTATATCTAATACTTTAATAATATCAATTTCCCACAAGTTAAAAGTTGTGGCCCAATGCTTTAGATGAATATTATTGCAAATAGAAGTATTGGTGCAATTCTCCTTTGCCCCAAATTTTTAATAAAAATGCTCGCTCACAAATATTAAAAAACTAGAATGTATAGGTCAAGCCTCGAACCTACGACGCTTCCATCCATGTGCATTCACTCCTGTTTGGCACTGCTCCTCTCTCTGTGCTCGAACAAAGGTGGATAAACATTCTTGTTACTTCCAAAAAAAATTTATTTTCGAAATTAGCGTTTAGTTATTAAATTTTTAATTTTCACTTGAAGATATATTTTAAAAATTTTCGAAATTTTGAAAAACTCCAAAAAACTGTTTTACAAAATTTTCACTTAGATCACTCACAAAACTTCAAAAACAACCCAAAATTATATGCATGTCTAAACACAACTCTAATTTTCAAATACCATTTTCACTTGAAATTTTCTTTCACTTTTTTTTTGTTGGAATTTTACTATTCTTATGTCCAAACGCCCACAAAACATATGTATTATTAAAATTCCAATAAATATTTACTTTTATTTCAAAAGTATAATATATCCAATGGTGAGTGCCGAAACTAATTGTGAAGTTGTGCCTAGACTGTAAACAATGCATTTCACAACCACTATACCCATCTATATATGATTGAGTGTAACAATGAATTCTCTCGACTAAGGTGATTGTCTTTTCTTTCTCTCTCTGCCAATATTTTGCAGCCTCAACTCAGACTGAAAGATATCAGTATACTGTCATAATCCACAATACTACTACTACTACTAGTACTACTATTAATAATAACAATAGCCTTTCACTTCATCCAATCACACCCACACCATCTCTTCATTCACTGTTCCTGATTTTCACTTCTTTCTTTTCTATTCTTTTCATCTATTCTTCTCCATCCTTTCATCTCCTTCTTTCCTCAGTCTTTACAGAAAAAAGCAGTAAAAAAGAAAAGAAAAATATAGACTCCTATTATCTTTCTTGTTGTAGTGATGGCTGAAGGATTTGAACCATATCATGTCCCACAACAAAGTAGAAGAGATAAACTTCGAGTTTTAGTTGATGATAATCTCCAACTCCAAAATTATGCTCCTTATTACGATCCATCAATTATACCATCAGATTTGCCAACTTTTCAAGAAATTAATGGCACCCCATTTCTTTATACACCTCAAAACCTAAGATTTCTTGATCAATCTCTCCGTACTAGTAGTGAAATTATGGTGCATAATAGTAGTAATAATAATACAAATGGTCAAGGTTTATCTTTGTCTTTGTCATCTCTTCATCACAACAGTACTACAAATCATGACTTGTTGTCAAAGAGTAGTTGTGTTCCACTTGGACCTTTTACGGGGTACTCTTTAATTCTAAAGAGATCAAGGTTTTTGAAGCCTGCACAATTGTTGTTGGAAGAATTATGTGATGTGGGTAGAGAAAAATTAGCAGCTGATGATTCCAATTTAATGGATTTTCCACATGAGAATATTGTTGTTGATCGACAAGATTGTAGTAATGGAGATGAGCATGGGAAGAAGAAATCCAGGTTAATTTTGATGCTTGATGAGGTACCTTTATTATACTTAATCGTGAGGCTTTTTTTGGCACTCATAATTATGACATGATTTTATTAATTTGAATTAGGAGTTAAATGTCCACATTTTCTTGCTTATTTGTGATGTAGTAGGGGTGAGACTTACTAGCTTGTTTTTGCAATGTAGAACGTTTTCTTTGTTTGGCCATGACTTTACCACTTGCAAATAAATACTCGAGTCTTTTTTAGAAAGTTAACATTTAGCCATACAGATATGCTGAACATTGGTGAAGTATTTATAAACTTGTTGGTGAAATATTGATTAACGAGGAGCATTTCTAGTGAAATAATATTCTTTTTTTTTTACTTATAGAACTTTATAATTATTTTCAAGTGATATTCATTTTCCCACACAACTTTCAACTACTAAATGCTCTTTCTCAAATTCCACTTCACATAATTTTTTGTTTGTTTTCAAATATAACCAACATTGTCCGCCTACTAAAATTCTTCCACTTTTATATCTTGTGATTCTGTTCAGCTGTTGTCCATGAGAACTTCATACTTGTCTTTCGGTAGCATATATTTGCAATTAAATGGAGAGAGGTTCTTTAAAATGATGAATTATCGTTCATTGTCCGTACACGCATGCACTATTAGATTTGGGGTATTATTTAGATGCTTAGCAATGATATTATTTGATAATATTTTAATGTTATTTATGGCTTTGTCTATTTGTATTATAAGCAACCTAGGTAGATGCCTGTCATATAGGCGTACAGGTTCTTATAGATCACTAAGTTATCTTTTCGGAAAAGGTGTTTGAGGGAATATATTGTGTAGATATCAAGATCAATTAAAAGGAATCCATCTAAAAGGGTTTATTCCAGGAGGAATTTCTCTTAAAAGAGAAGTAATTAAGGGCAACCCGATGCACTAAGCTCCTGCTATGCGTGGGGTCCGGAAAATAGCTGGACTACAAAGGTCTATATTACGTAGTCTTATCCAGCGTTTTTGCAAGAGGTTGTTTCCACGACTTGACCCTGTGACCTCTTAATCACATGACAGTAACTTTACCAGTTACACTACGGCTCCCATTTTTTAAAGAGAAGTAATGGTACCTTAAATTTATTAAAGAAGGGGCGATGGTTTCTCAAGTGCCCATTTCTCTCCTCTTTCTTTTACTCATCTACTCCGATTAATTAATCTTTCTTCCCTATGGATGACATGTATTTATCATGAACTTCGGGTAAAATTAAATTTGTCCGTCGCAATTTTAGTAATTTTTAACATATATATGATACTTCCTTTTAAAATTGTTGGGAATCATTGAACCGTTGGCGATATGTTACATCCTCCCCTACTATTAGTTTTTATATAGATATTGATTTAATTATGTAAAATTTTGAGATGACAAGAGGTGAATAGGATTTTTTTATTTTTTTTTAGATTTAAGGATTTTGAATGAATAGATCAAATTGGAAAAAAAAAAAACTAACTACTTAACTAAAAACAAAAGGGGACACTAGCCCACAAACGTGAGATTCAAAGTTCTGAGCTCAATTCTAAAAAAAAAAAAAAAACAAGAAAAAAACAAGATAGACATGAGATTAGAATCCTCTATTTGTAAAGGTGCACTCAATAATCATCGCATCATAGGACTCTTTGATTTTGGGTGCACATAAATTTTAAGAAGTACAAACATTATTATACATAGTATAGGGAGAGGAGTATAGGTTCACGTGCCCACCCACTTCGGCTTGATACACCCCTGTGCATGTCATGGCCTTATTTAATTGTAAGTGATAGAGGTATCTAAATAATCTTATAACTAAATTAATGTTAATTGAAATGAGTGTTCTCTTTATGACATAACTTGTATCATGCTTTTGAATAAGTTCCGTCTGAGAGAATATTCAACTTTACATAAAATTGGATGCAAATATTTGATATCTTCTGTATAAGAAAAAGGAAATACTAGTAAATTAAGCAAGAGTATGAATGATTTGCTCAGTGGCTAAGTTTGTTATTAATTTGAGAATGCATGTAACATCGGAGAAAATACAATAAAGATTTAACTTATATCCATTAGTAATCTAATGAAAACTTTATACTATTGGTATTATTTAACCTTATATAAGTTAATTTGTCTTACTTTTTAGATTACTAATTTCACTTATGATAGATGACCGCTTTGTCTACTTTAATCTCTCCAATTTGTTTGGCAGTGAGGCATAATTGTTGTTGTACGTAGTATATTTTAACTTATTGTAATAGGTAAATTGCCTTATAGTAAGTTATTGCTAATAATTTTTGCCGCCTGTAGTAATTATCTCTATACTTACATCGTGTAGGTTAGGTGTATAAAAGTTAAAACTCTTTTGGATATGGGAAGCTTATTAATTAATTGTAAATGAAACAAAATATTTGTGATGTTTCTCAATAATTCTCTTTCGATGCTATTGACAGGTGTACCAAAGGTATAAGCAGTATCATCAGCAACTACAGATGGTTGTGACATCTTTTGAAGCTGTTGCTGGACTTGGGAATGCAGCGCCCTTTGCAAATTTAGCTTTAAAAACGATGTCTAAACACTTCAACTGTCTTAAAAATGCCATCACTGACCAACTGCAATTTACAAACGAATCTCGTCATGGTCAAAGAAATTGTGAAAGAGACCCTATCCCTAGAGCTGGCAAAGGACTCTATGGCCAAAAACCAGATCAAATCCGCAATAATGCTGGATTTGCTGATAGGACTCAACCTGTTTGGCGACCACAAAGAGGGCTTCCTGAGCGTGCAGTGACCGTTCTTAGGGCTTGGTTGTTTGACCATTTTCTTCATCCGTAAGTTATATGAATATGCATTGATAGCTACTATCTTCAATTCAGAGGATATATATAACTTTATATATAAATACACTAACAGTGCAACGAATTTTCACACTAATAAGTACATCTTTTAGATGATTTGATGGTGAAAAAGTCTTTCCTTTTTTTTTCCTTGTTAATGTAGAGAAGTTAAACACTTGTTTTAGAAATTCTCTGTAGATTATTCATACATCTTAACGGATGCAATCATATCGATATCTGTCTCTCATAACTTTCGACTCATTATATTGAGATTGTTATTGCTGCAGTTACCCCACGGACACTGACAAAGTAATGTTAGCCAAACAGACTGGCCTCTCAAGGAATCAGGTTTGTATATCTCGAGTGTTTCTGTGATCGTGAAGGAATTAATATAGGAAAGGGAATATAATAAAGATTTGCAAAAGGCGTAGCTAGGATTGTGAGTGAATTATAACATAATGGGAGAGCAGAAGCTAAAATATATGGACATATTTCATATATTTAGTGTTGGTTCCTGTTGCGAAAGCCAAATGTATATAGTGTGAATAAGTCACAACTACTATATCAAAAATTATAACAGCCACCAAATAATATATAAGACAATAAAACAATAATAAAAGAAACACCAGAATTTACAAGGTTCAGCCAATTTTGCCTACTCCTCGGACACAACCAATATTTTATTCCACTCCAAAAATACAAGTGAAATAATACTAAAGATGGAAGATACAAATGCCTTAAGAAAATAAAAAGGCAAATGAGAGGTGTGTTTAAATTCTAAACATTAGGCCTCCTTTTATAGGGTGAAGTACCAACCAAAATTGGTACTTCACCGATGTGGGATTTCTGCCATTCAACAAATCTCCACCTTGGCAAAATTTCACATCTTCAATTTTCTCTCAATAACAAAATTTTAGTTGTGTCTTCGTCTTCAATCTTCAGTGTTCAACAATGTTGATCAAATCCAAACAATGTTGAAACTTGACCGCAATTACCACTTTTGTCAGCATATCAGCAGGATTCTCTGTAGTATGAATTTTCTTCACCGTGACTCCACCTTCTTCTATGATTTCTCGTACGAAATGATACCGAACATCAATGTGCTTCGTCCTTGCATGATAAACTTGGTTCTTCGCTAATTGAATAGCACTTTGACTATCACAAAAAATTGTGATATTTTTTTGTTCAACACCAAGCTCCTTTAGCAACTCTTGAAGCCAAATTGCCTCCTTCACAACCTCTGTAATAGCCATGTACTCTGCAACTGTTGACTGCAAAGTAGACTTCCAACTAACTGGTGCTTTTGCAAAAGTAAACACATAA